ATATATATATATATATATATATATAACTAAGAAAGGGAAAAAAACCCAATAGGATTCTGTAAGAGTAGGATGAGTCCAGGTTTTTCAGGTTAGGAGTGAAGGGAGAACATGGCAGACATGTCAGAGGATTCTGTAGCACACTTCATATGTCTCACCTTCTTTACCAGAGTCCAAGAAACAGTTTCATTAACACAGTGCTTTATATAAAATGCGCAAGAAGTATAAGAATTAGTGGACTTTAAGAATAGAATTAGGTTTGCTAAGAAAGAAAAAAAAAAGAACCCAGTGATAAAGAGGAAGTCAAGCAAGTGTGAGTTGTCAGAGAACAAGAGCATTTCAGTTCCTTTCTATTTTAATAAAATAGTAGCAGTAGCACCAGTAGCAGCAAATGACGTTTATTAAAATCTCCCTCCAGGCTAAAAACTGCGCGGAGAGCTTTGTTTGTATCTTTTTTATATATCTCCTAAGCCGTGTGCTGTCTGCCCTTTCTCTTCTGCAGTGTCTTGAAGCAGTGTGAGGATGTGGACCTCTGCTTCCTACAGAAACCAGTGGAATCCTATCTCTTTAATGGTACAAAGAAAGGAACGTTGTTTCTCACTTCATACCGGGTAATTTCCCTCTTTTTCATCTAATTTATTTTTTGTTTTTTTCACGGTGCCGGGTCTTCATGGCTATGTGCGGGCTTTTCTAGTTGTCGTGAGTGGGGGTTACTCTGGAGTTGCAGTGCTTGGGCTTCTCACTGCAGTGGCTTCTCTTGTTCAGGAGCACAGGCTCTAGGGCACTCGGGCTCAGGAGTTGTGGCACACAGGCTTAGTTGCCCTGTGGCATGTGGATTCTTCTTGGACTAGGAATCGAACCCATGTACCCTGTATTGGCAGATTCCTAACCATTGAACCACCAGGAAAGTCCCATACCAGGTAATTTCTGCTTCTCCTTTCAACTAATTAACTCTACGTTTGTCTCCCTTAAAACGGAGAGAGGTTAAACCTTGACTTTCAAAATGTTTTGAAACATTTCCACTTGGAGATTTTCCCTGTTGAAGAGTGATAGAACAAAATCGGTGATGTTTCTCAATTAGGCCAGGAGCCAAAGCAGCCTTGACTTTAGAATTGCTCTTCTATGTCTCAACCCATGGACGAATTGCATTCCTTTCCTAAAGTTTCTTTCCTTTCTTAGGTGGTCTTCGTGACGTCACACTTAGTCAATGACCCCATGCTTTCCTTTATGATGCCGTTTGGCCTGATGGGTGACTGCACCATTGAACAACCAATTTTTGCCCCCAACTACATTAAAGGAACCATTCAGGCAGCTCCGGGTGGTAAGTGTCCCCCTCAGAAGTGTATTTTTTCTCAAAAGCTTAGAGAAAGTTGAAGACTCAGACTTCACTGGGTGGTGTCTCTCTCCGTGTTTCTGGCAGCGCGTCTGTGACCGTGCGCCAGCCTCTCAGTGTGCTGTTTCTGCCCCCAGGTGGCTGGGAAGGACAAGCTGTTTTTAAGTTATCCTTCAGGAAAGGAGGCGCCATCGAATTTGCCCAACTCATGGTAAAAGCTGCCTCTGCTGGTGAGCGATGCTGAGAAAGATATCGAGTGCTTTGGAGTTTGGGGACCTGTATAACTGGAGTAGGACTGTTAACTGGTGAAGACTTCTGGCCTCTGTGGTCAGGACGTTGGTATTTGCCCATGTTGTTGTTGTTTAGTCAGTAAGCTGTGTTCAACTTTTTTCAGCCTCGTGTACTGTGTAGACTGCCAGCCTCCTCTGTCCACGGGATTTCCCAGGCAGGAATACTGCAGCAGGTTGCCATTTCCTTCTCTAGATTTCACCTGTATTCAGTGGGTATTTCCTGACCCTACTGACTATGTACCAAGTACCCTACTACATGCTAGAAACATAAGATTTGGTCCTTCCTTAACCTGAAGGAGTTCACAATCTAGTGGGAATTTACATTCAGACACCCGAATGATTATACCTGATAGTCTCTTGTCCATTTAAGTGGCTGTATCATTGATACTCTTGTTTTTGGTAGAGTTATCTTGGCTCTTCTTCCTCTGGCATGCCTTCTTGTCTTCTTTGCTTTTCTTGGGTTTAATTCTCATTTTTCATGGGACTAAAGCATGGGAAGAGATACTGTTAAGTCCTGCAGCACTGATCTAACAGATGTACCAGAGGACTCTTTCAGACTTAGAATACAAGTAATCTTTTAATTCAATGTAGCTTCACTTTATATCCCTCACTCTCAGTTTTTATATTCTAATTCAACTGGACTGCTTTGCACCTTGCTCTCCCATCTCTGAGCCTTCAGGCTATTTGTTCTGTCTGGAATGCTCTTCCTCTTTCTGTCTGGAATGCTCTTCCTCTTTCTCCCTTGCTTTCCACCACCAACTCCAATCTAGTTAAGATGCACACAGTCTAGTGGAAATAGACATATGCAAGAATAATACATTGTCCTATCTTATGGTGGGGCTTCCCTGGTGGCTCAGAGGTAAAGAATCCGCTTGCAATGCAGGAAATACAGAAGTGGATTTGATCCCTGGGCTGGGAAGATCCCCTGGAGAAGGAAGTGGCAACCCACTCCAGTATTCTTGCCTTGGAAACCCCATGGACAGAGGAACCTGGCAGGCTACAGTCCATGGGGTCACAAAGAGTCAGACACAACTGAGCACATCCCACCCAGTTAAGATAATGCTAGCTATTGAAACAGATAAACCCCAAATTATCAGTGACTTAAGATAATGGTGGAGAAGGAAATGACAACCCATTCCAGTATTCTTGCCTGGGAAATCTTATGGACAGAGGAGCCTGGCTGGCTGTAGTCCACGGAGTCACAAAAAATCAGACACAACTAAGTGACTAAACAAACAACAATAAGGTAATGGATATTACTGCTTATATAAAGGCCAGTTGGGAGCTTTTCTGACAGTTCAGTGGTTAAAATTTCCCCTTTCATCACAGACAGTGTGAGTTCTATCCCTAGTCAGGAGCTCAGACCCCACATGCCTCGGGGCAAAAAAACCAAAGCATAAAACAGAAGCAGTATTGCAACAAATTCAATAAAAACTTTAAAAATGGCTCACATCAAAATAAATCTGAAAAAGAGGCCAATCAGCAGGGGCTAAAGGGACCTCTGTTCCACACAGCCCTTCAGGGACCCGGGGTAGTAGAGTCTCATCAGTAACACATGGCTTCCACAGCCTCTTTGGGTGGCCAGCAGAGTGAGGAAGAGAGTCAAGATCTCACTTTGGAAGTTTTCGTGGGCCAGGCATGGAAGCTGTGTGCACTGCTTCTGGTCATATGCCACAGGGCAGAAACTGGTGTGGCAGGCTGACAATGGCTCTGAAAATATAAGCCTGAGAATCTTTGAATGTTACTTTGTAAAAAAAGAGAAAAAAAGGCTTTTCAGATATAATTAAGGATCTTGAGATAAGAGAATTACTNGGAGCAAGCGTCTTAATTTCATGGCTGCAGTCACCACCTGCAGGGTACTGCCATTATGTTGGCCTTTAATGGAGTTATCCTGACAACTTGATATAATCTTCACTTGAAAATTTTTTTCTGAATCCCTATTATGGTGGGTATTATGCTAGGCCTTCAATAAGCATAGGAAAATATACACAATCACTATCTTTAGGAAGCATACAGTTGAGGACAAGGACAGTGTATATTTTAAATCTTGTATCCTGGGAGCATTGCCGGACACTCATGTAACATGTTGGTTAATACTTTGTTAATTATTTGGTTGATAGTTGCTGTATATCTGTCTTAAAAGAATTAAAGAGCCCTTATTTTGCCAAATTTGTCTTCTCAGCTGCCAGAGGAATTCCACTTGGAAGTGTAAATTACTGGTTCGACACTTCAGGACTGTACATAATTACTGTCCCAGGGGCTGCAGTGTGCTCCCCACAGACATCTTGTCCAGGTAAGTATGGCAGGGAGGTTCTTCCTGGGAGGTAAAAGGGTGTGCCCAAGGCTCGCAGATCTAATCGCTGAAAGCTTGCCTCCAACTCTGCTGCAAGAGAAGCAGCAGAGTTTTGGGCGTTGGAAAATAGTTGAGTCCATGATTTCATTTCCAGATTCAAACCCAGTGGCAAGTCAGTAAGTGACCGGCTTTCCCTTTCAGGCTTTTTTGTTGTTGTTCAGTCACTCAGTTGTGTCCTACTCTTTGCAATCCCATGGACTACAGCACGCCAGGCTTCCCTGTCCTTCACCATCTCCCAGAGCTTGCTCAAGCTCGTGTCCATCGAGTCGGTGATGCCATCCAACCATCTCGTCCTCTGTCGTCCCCTTCTCTTCCTGCCTTCAATTTTCCCAGCATCAGAGTATTTTCTAATGAGTTGGCTCTTCGCATCAGGTGGCCAAAGTATTGGAGTTTCAGCTTCAGCAGCAGTCCTTCCAAGGAATATTCAGGAATGATTTCCTTTAGAACTGACTGGTTTGATCTCCTTGCAGTCCTAGGGACTCTCAAGAGTCTTCTCCAACACCACAGTTCAAAAGCACCAATTTCAGGCTTACTTTGATGTACAAATATGGAGGATATTGGGCAACTCTCATCAGTAGGAAGTCACTTCTGCTTACAACCTGAGCAGAAACGTGTGCTCTTGCATACCTCCCCCTTCCTCTCTCACACAAGCACAGCCGTCACGCTTGTGCCACGCCTTTCATCCTCACTGAGGTCTCCAATCCTGGACTTTGTGACCTGTGCCCTTTCCTGTAGCAGCTGTGTCTGTCCACAGATGCTGAGCCATGTTCCCCAGAGATGTAGATCAGTATTCTCAAATGTGGTTCACAGTCTGTGGGTGGACCACGAAAGGTCTCCTGACAGGCTGCCAACAGACCCCAGATGCAGGCCATTTCTTGGGTTTTCCTTGGAGCATGATACGCATGTCCATCAGCATTTAGTTTGTATACAACTGATGGGTAGTTACTTCTGGCCTTTATAGTTACCTTAATTTTTAAGTGTTAATCAACTGACATTCAAAATTTTGAAGTAAGTATTGCTAAGGCTTTATAAAAATGTTTTTAAGTTGAAATTTGTATAACATACAATTAACCATTTTAAAACGTACAATTCAATGGTATTTAGTGAATCACAATGCTGTGCAGCCATCAGCTCTCTCCAGTTTCAAAACTTTTCCAGGACTTCCCTGGCAGTCCAGTGGTTGACTCTGCCCTGTCACTTAGGGGGTTCAGGTTTGATCCCTGGTTGGGGAACTAAGATCCTGCATGCCGTGCTGCACAGTCAAAAAGCAAACAAACAAACAAAATGGAAAACTTTTCCATTACTCCATAAGAATACCCCATACCCACGAAGTAATCATTCCTTGTCCTCTCTCCTTTGTCTCTTGGTTTCCTCTAATCTGCTTTTTTGTCTTTTTGGATTTGCCTGTTCTGTGTATATCACATAAAAGAAGCCAAGCAACATGTGACTTTGTGTTTGGCTTATCTCACTTAACATGATGTTTTCAAGGCTCCTCCAAGATGTAACATGTATCAGTACTTCACTTTTTGTGTCTGACTAGTACTCCATTGTATATATCATAGTTTGTTTATTCATTCGTGCATTGATGCACATATGGCTGGTTTCCACCTTTTGATTATTATGAATAATAGCTGTTATAATCATTTGTATATAGGTTTCTCTGTAGACATAAGTTTTCATTTCTCTTGAGTACGTACTTAGGTTTGGAATTATTGGGTGATATGGTAATTCAATGTTTAACTTTTTTGAGAAACCACCAAACTCTTTTTCCGCAGCAAGTGCACTGTTATTTTACTCTCACCAGCAATGTACAAGTTCCTATTGCTCCATATCGTTGTCAATGCTTGTTATTTTCCTTTCTTTTTGCTTGTTGTTTATAGTAAAGTCATCCTAGTGAAGTGAGGTGATATCTCATTATAATTTTAATTTGCATTTTCTTAATGACCAATGGTATTGAACATCTTTTCATGTGCTTTTCGACCATTTGTGTATTTTCTTTGAAGCTGTATCTTTTCAAGTCCTTTGCCCATTTAACAATATTTGTTGACTCATTTTTGGCCACACTGTGTGTGTTGCTGCTCTTGGGCAGCAAGCAGGGGCTCCTTTTTTTGCACTGTGCGTCCTTGCAGGCCTGTCATTGCAGGGGCTTCCCTTGTTGCGGAGCAGGCCTAGAGAGCGCTGGCTCCAGTAGTTGTGGTGCACAGGCCGAGTTGCTCTGCAGCGTGTGGGATCTTCCTGGACCAGAGACTGAACCCATGTCACCTGCACTGGCAGGCGGATTCTTAACCACTGGACCACCAGGGAAGCCTGAGTATGGTGTTTAATTTCCAGAAATTTGTGAATTTTCCAGTTTTACTTCTGTTGTTGGTTTATACATTAATCCCTTTGTGATCAGAGAAGCTACTTTGTATGACATCTACCTTTTAAAATCTATCCAGACTTGATTTGTTACCTAATATATGGTCTATTCTAAAAATATCACGTGTCCTCGAGAGTACCAGCGTCCCAGGTGGCACTACTGGTAAATAATCTGCATGCCAATGCAGGAGACATAAGAGATGAAGGTTCGATCCCTGGGTCGGGAAGATCCTCTGGAGAAGGCAAAATTCCATGGGCAGAGGAGCCTGGTGGGCTGCAGTCCATGGGGTCACAAAGAGTTGGACACAGCTGATCAAGTGAGCATTTGAGAGTAAGGTGTGTTCTGTTGTTGGGTAGAGTGTCCTGTGTTTGTTAGATCCAGTTGACTTGCTGTGCTTTTTCAAATCCTCTGCTTTCTTATTTATCTTCTCTCTGGTTGTTCTATCCATCAGTGTGAGTGAGGGATATTGAAGTCTTCAACTATTACTGTGAAATTGCTTCTTCCTTCAATTCTGTCAGTTTTTGCTTCATATATGTGATGGTCTGTTATCAGCTGTGCAAATGTTTATAATTGTTATATTCTTTTGCTGAACTGAACATTTTATTAATATGTAATTTTCTTTATTGCTTAATCTTTTTGATATAAAGTCTATTTTGTCTGATATAATATAGTTATTTTTGCTCTCTTTTGGTTACTATTTACATGGAATATCTTTTTTCATCCTTTACTTTCAATTTATTTATGTCTTTGTATCTAGAACAAGTCTCTCAAACACATAGCATGTAGTTGAATCATGAATTTTCATTCATTCTGCAATCTCTGTCTTTTGATTGGGGAATTTAATGCATTTGCATTTAAAGTAATTACTGATGATGGGAGCCTTACTTCTACTGTTTTACTATTTGGTTTTTATATGCCTTATAGCTTTTTTGTCCCTTATTTTCTGCATCACTGTCTTCTTTTGTGTTGTTTTTTGATAGTGAAAAGTATGAATTTCTTTCTCATTTCCTTTTGTTTATATTTTATAGCTTTTTTTTTTTTTTTTTGGTGTGACTACCATGGGGGTTACATTTAACATCCTAAAGTTATAACACTGATTTGAATTTTACAATCTTAACTTCAATAACATACGAATATTCTGTACCTTTACAAGCCCTCCATCTCACTCCTTTTATGATGTCACAAAACTGTATTTCTATACATTGTGTCCCCAAACACATAATCTAATATTTCCTGTAAATGCATTAGTCTCTTAAGTTATGTAGAAAACAAAAATGAAATTACAAACTTTTGTTATAATAATATTGACTTTTATAATTGGTCCATGATTTACCTTCATTGAGATATTTATTTCTCATTTGGCTTCAAATTATTATCTAGTGTCCTTACATTTGACTCCCTTCAGCACTTCTTGCAGGACAAGTCTAGTGGTAATCAACTCCCTCAGGTTTTGTTTATCTGGAAACATCTTACTTTCTTTCTCTATCTGAAAGGAGTTTGGCCATATATAGGATTCTTGTTAGATAGTTAATTTCTGGCCTCCAACATTCCTGAAGAGAAATCTGCTAATCTTCTTATTGAGGATCTCTTGCATGTGATTATTCACGTCTCTCTTGCTGCTGTCCCCTGGACTGCAAGGAGATCCAACCAGTCCATCCTAAAGGAAATCAGTCCTGAATATTCATTGGATGGACTGGTGCTGAAGCTGAAACTCCAATACTTTGGCCACCTGATGTGAAGAGCTGACTCATTTGAAAAGACTCTGATGCTGGGAAGGATTGAGGGCGGGAAGAGAAGGGGACAACAGAGGATGAGATGGTTGGATGGCATCACCGACTCAATGGACATGGGTTTGGGTGAACTCCGGGAGTTGGTGATGGACAGGGAGGCCTGGTGTGCTGCAGTTAATGGGGTCGCAAATAGTTGGGCATGACTGAGCGACTGAACTGAACTGAACTTGCTGCTGTCAAGATTCTCTTTTTTGTAAGTTTGACTATAATGTGTTGGTGTGGATCTCTTTGAGTTCATCTTATTTGGAGTTTATTGAGCTTCTTGGATGTTTATATTCATGTCTTTCATCAGATTTGAGAAGTTTTCAGTCATTTTTTCTTCAAATACTTTCTCTACATCTTCCTCTCTTTCTTCTTTTTCTGAAACTTCCACAATGTATATGTTGGTCTCCTTGGTAGTGTTCCACTGGTCCCTTGGGCTCTGTTCACTTTTCTTCAATATTTTTCTTTCTATTCCTCTCTATCTACAGTTTTTGTTGTTCTATATTCAGGTTTACTGATTCTTTCTTCTGCCTATTCAAATATGAATTTGAATCCCTAGTGAATTTTTCATCTCAGTTATTGTACTTTTCAACTCCACGATTTTGTTTGTGTTGGTTTCCTGTTATGTTTTCTTTCTCTTTATTGCTGTTTCTATTTTGCTCATATATCACTTTTCTTGAGTTTATATACATTTTTCCTTTTGTTCTTTGAGCATCTTAATGATGATTCTTTTAATTTTTTCTAGATAGCTTAAATATTAAATATGGATTTTAGAAAAATAAGTTGACAGTTATCCATTCACATTGACACAGTTAAATCATTTTGGGAATGTAGCCAAGGAAATAAATAAAACCCGTGTTTATTATAATATTAAATGGAAAGTTGGAAGCAACATAACTCCCTGACAATCAGGTAGCACTTATCATAAGTAGCATTTATCCATATGATAAAATATTGTCCAGATTTTAATTTGTGAAATACGTTAATGATATAAAGAACTTTCTTGGCAGTCCAGTGGTTAAGACTTGGCATTTTCATTGCTGAGGGCCAGGTTCAACCCCTGGTTGGGAAACTAAGATCTCACAAGCCATGCAGAGCAGCCAGGAATAAAAGAAAAAATAATATAAAGAACATTCTCACAATGTCAAGTAAAATGAGCCAGATTTTAAAAAATTGTATGATTGTCATAATCATGACTGTATAAAAAATATTAACAGAGATCCTACTTATAAATATACCAAAATAATAAGTTTTTGTCTTTGATGATGGAATTATAGATGACTTTTAAAAATTTATCTCTTCTCTATTTTCCAAATACATATTCCTCATTGAGCATTTTTTTATGATCAAAACAAACTTTACTGAGTTAATATGTATCTGTGTACAACTATTAGTATGTAGAGATTTAACTATAGGTTATTTTCATGTTAATTTTAATTCCTCCACAACAGGAAATGTTAAAGCATCCAACTGGTGATGGCTGAAGGATAAGGCTTTTGCATTGTTCTGTCTGAATTCTCTTCCTATTTCAGTCTGCTTCAGTATTTTTTTAATCTTCCACCTCCTTCTTACTTATTCCTTGTCTGCTCTAAAAAATGAGTAATTGATTTTTTTTTCCTTCTCAGCATATCCAATTGTGATCTATGGACCCCCACCACCAGGATATGGAGTCCAACCAGGGGAATATGGAACTCCACCAGAACGATATGGAGCCCAATCAGGGGGATATGGAGCCCCTCCTGGGGGATATGGAGCCCCACCTGGGGGATATGGAGCCCCTCCTGGGGGATATGGAGCCCCACCTGGGGGATATGGAGCCCCTCCTGGGGGATATGGAGCCCCACCTGGGGGATATGGAGCCCCTCCTGGGGGATATGGAGCCCCACCTGGGGGATATGGAGCCCCTCCTGGGGGATATGGAGCCCCACCTGGGGGATATGGAGCCCCACCTGGGGGATATGGAGCCCCTCCTGGGGGATATGGAGCCCCACCTGCAGGATATGGAGCCCCACCAGTTGGAAATGAAGCCCTACCACCAGCATATGAAGCTCCATCTGCTGGAAATACAGCTGCCTCTCACAGATCTGTGGCAGCTCAGCAGGAGACTTCTCTTCCCTAATCTTCTCAGGTCCATTTACCACCTTCTCAGAGTTAAACCTTGAAGACTCACTAAGCAAAGGGCACCCTAAAACTGAAGTCACAGTAAGAAGGAAGACTCAGGTAGGTGGTTGAAGTCCCATCCCAGATAGTTGTCATACCCTTTGGAAGGGCAACCTTAGAGGGAAGATGAAGCTTTACTTCCACACCTAGATTTTAGAGGCCAAGTCAGTTCTTGGCTGGGCTTCCCTGGTGGCTCAGTTGGTAAAGAATCTGCCTGCAATGCAAGAGATGCAGGTTTGATCCCTGGGTCAGAAAGATCCCCTGGGAGAAGGAAATGGCAACCCACTCCAGTATGCCTGCCTGGGAAATCCCATGGACAGAGGAGCCTAGCAGGCTACAGTCCATGGGGTTGCAAAGAGTCAGACACAACTTAGTGACTAAACCACCACCACCACCACCAATTCTTGATTAGATGGGCTAAAGGAGAAGTACATTTGTACAGCTAATTCTCCAACAATTTGGTTGATATTGGCTGCATTTTTTTAATTACATTTTTTTAAACATGCCTTGTGTCAGTTTGGAAAAACTGTTCTGCATTTTCCCCTCTCCAATTCAAGAAACATCCATTATGCTAAGTTTGCTAGGAACTAAGATATATGTTAAAAATATCAAGTTGAGGGATTTTCCTAGAGATCCAGTAGTTAAGACTTCATGCTTCCAATGCAAAGAGCATGGGTTTGATCCCTGGTTGGGAAACTAAGATCCCACATGCCATGTGGCATGGCCAAAAATTTTTTAAAAATCAAGTTGAACACTTATTTTTCACAGCATTCTTTATATTAGTGAAAGGATATAACAACTTAAATTTTCAGTAGTAAGAGAGAATTTCACAAATTATACAATGAAATGTTGTGCAACCATTGAAAATGATATCTAAAGGTAGGCGAGGCCTTCTTTAAGAAGACAAAAAATAATGAAGCAATAAAGGAAAACAGTGATAAATTTGACTATATCAAAATTTTAAACTTCTGTATGACCAAAGTTAGAAGCTAGGCAATAGACTAGGAGGAACTAATTGCCAACGTACATATTAAACAAAAAATTTGTGGTCAAAATATAAGAAGAACTTTACAAATCAACTCAAAAGAAAATATGGACAAAAGATGTGAATTCTCAATTAACTGAGGCAATAGCCTCAAGAAACATTTGAGGACTTCCTTGGTGGCACAGTGGATAGGAGTCCACCTTCGAATGCAGGAGACATGGGTTCAGTCCCTGGTTTGGGAAGATTCCACATGCCACAGAGCATGAAAAGATGTTGAACTTTTGTGTTAGATAAATGAAACTTGAAATGAGAAACAATTTTTATCTCTAAAGATTCAGAAGCATTAAAAAGATTGAGACAGTCGATGAAGTGACTTCCACCTTGGGCCTTTTCCCATGCTCCTTGTTACAAACTGCTTGTGAGTGGCATCCATCCAAGTGAGAAACTGGTATAGGCTGCCATGGAAATCAGTGCACAAAGGTAGCCCCGGCTGGTAAGGGATGGTCTGGGTTTCTGGACTCTGTATTTTTCTAGTAAAGGAACCCAGCTCTTGCAGGTCTAAAACCATGGCCCATGGACCAATAACATTCAGGTATGTGGCCATAGAGTTCTTTCAGCATAAGTTGGAATTTCTCAACCTTGTTCCAAAGTTGTACTGCAATGAGTAACTTGGTCTCACTGGGCAATTCCATTTCTTTTTGAAATACTTATTTATTTGACTATATTGAGTCTTAGTTTTGGCATATGGAATACAGTTCCCTGACCAGGGTTTGAACCTGGGGCCTCTGCATTGAGAGTGTGGAGTCTCAGCCACTGGAGCATCAGGGAAGCGTCCCCAAGTACCTTTTGAAAGTTAAAATATTTCTACTCTTGACTTAGCAGCTTCACTCAATATCCATCCCTAAGAAAAGGAAAGATATACCCATTTGAATGCAGAGTTCCAAAGGATTAGCAAGGAGAGATAAGAAAGCCTTCCTCAGTGATCAATGCAAAGATATAGAGGAAAACAATAGAATGGGAAAGACTAGAGATCTCTTCAAGAAAATTAGAGATACCAAGGGAACATTTCATGCAAAGATGAGCACAATAAAGGACAGAAATCGTATGGACCTAACAGAAGCAGAAGATATTAAGAAGAGGTGGCAAGAATATACAGAAGAACTATACAAAAAAGATCTTCATGACCCAGATAATCACGATGGTGTGATCACTCACCTAGAGCCAGACATCCTGTAGTCAAGTCAAGTGGGCCTTAGGAAGCATCACTATGAACAAAGCTAGTGGAGGTGATGGAATTCCAGTTGAGCTATTTCAAATCTTAAAAGATGATGTTGTGAAAGTACTGCACTCAGTATGCCAGCAAATTTGGAAAACTCAGTAGTGGCCACAGGACTGGAAAAGGTCAGTTTTCATTCCAATCCCAAAGAAAGTCAATGCTTAAGAATGCTCAAAATACCGCACAATTGCACTCATCTCACATGCTAGCAAAGTAATGCTCAATATTCTCCAAGTAGGCTTCAACAGTATGTGAGCCATGAACTTTCAGATGTTCAAGCTGGATTTAGAAAGGGCAGAGGAACCAGAGATCAAGTTGCCAACATCCATTGGATCATCGAAAAAGCACAAGAGTTTTAGAAAAACATCTATTTCNAGAGTCCCTTGGACTGCAAGGAGATCCAACCAGTCCATCCTAAAGGAGATCAGTCCTGGGTGTTTATTGGAGGGACTGATGTTGAAGCTGAAACTCCAATACTTTGGCCATGTGATGCGAAGAGCTGACTCCTTGGAAAAGACCCTGATGCTGGGAAAGATTGAAGGCAGGAGGAGAAGGGGACAACAGAAGATGAGATGGTTGGATGGCATCACCAACTCGATGGACATGAGTTTGAGTAAGTTTGGGAGTTGGTGATGGACAGGGAAACCTGGTGTGCTGCAGTCCATGGGGTTGCAAAGAATCGAACACGATTGAATGACTGAACTGAAAAAATACTTGCACATGTGCACAAAGTTGTATGTGGGAAGATTTCATTACATTCAAAGTTTTTAACGGCACCAAATTAAAAATATCCTATATACCTGTTAATAGTAAATATTAAATAAACAGTGGTTAAGGCTCTGTGCTTTCACTGCAGGGGGTATGGGTTTGATCCCTGGTCAGGGAAATAAGCTCCTGCATGCCACTTGGCAAAAATAAATAAATAAATAATTTCTTGAACTGAATAAAAATGAAAATACAACATACCAAATTAAAAATTTATATGGGGAAAGTAATAACTTTTTTAAAATTAGAAAAAAGATATAGAGAGCAGCTGGCTGCTGCTTTTCCTCTTTAAGTTACCAGCATTGAGTCATGTATGAGTCTAGGAAACTGGAACGTCAGTAGCACAAGGGAATTACAATAGCACTGCCAGTATGTCCAGACTGGCACATTATGCTCCTTAATATTGAAGGCCTTGCACGATCTGGCCCTTCCAGTGACCTCTCTAGCCGAGTGATCCAGCAGAGCATGACCTTTGCCTCTTCCTTCCTCTCTGCCTGTTCTACTCATCTCTCAAAAGAGCCCAGAAGAGCTTTTTCTGAACTCCCCTTCTAGCATAATTTGGCTTCCTTGGTGTCTCAGAGGTAAAGAATCCACCTGCAGTGCAGGAGATATAAGAGACACACGTTCAATCCCTGGGTTTGGAACATCCCCTGGAGTAGGAAATGGCAGCCCACTCCAGCGTTCTGCCTGGGAAACCCCATAAACAGAAGAGCCTGGATGACTAGAGTCCATAGGGTTGCAGAGTCGGACACAACTGAGCGCACGTGTGCACGTGCGCACACACACACCCCCTCCAGGATAACTGCACTTCTGCTGAACTTGTATTGTAACCCTGGAGTGTTTCTCGTGAAATACCGTGTCAATCTTAGTGGGATCGTCTGTGTGCTCATCTCCTCCATAACCTGTGAGCTCCTTGAAAGCAGAGTCTGTATCTCATTGCAGGGGCCCCGAGCAGAAGGCACAGCCTACAGAGGGTGAATAAACATTCCTAGAGTGAATAAAGACATAAATAAATTGTGTTTCTTGATTTATGATATACACATACAATACATTCATACCTCCCTGAGTTCTGGTCATCAACTGAAGACTATAATTTGCAGAATCAGTTTTGCTCGGCAGACAGAGAGGATTAGAAATTAAAATTTCAGGGACTTCCCTGGTGGTCCAGTGCAGTGACTGAGACTCCAGGCACCCAATGCAGAGGGCCCAGGTTCCATCCCTGGTTAGAGAACCAGATCCCACATTCCGCAAATAAGAGTTCTCATGTCACAACTGACGATTCTACATGACACAATGAAGATCAAAGATCTTGCATGCCTCAACTAGGACCCGGTGCAGCCAAATCAATAAATATGTTTTAAAAAGAAATTAAAAATTCAGACTTTGTAACAAGTGTTGGTGAGGATGTGAAGAAAAGGGAACCTTCATAAACTATTCGTGGGAATATAAATTGGTGCAGCCACTGTAGAAAACCATCTGGAGTGTCCTCAAAAAACTAAAAGTAGAACTACCATATGATCCAGCAATTTCACTCCTGAAATTTCATTATCTGAAGAAAACGAAAACACTATTTCATAAAGATATATATATGCCAGTGTTCATAGTAGAATTATTTACAGTAGCCAAGATATGGAAGCAACCTAAATGTCAATCAACAGATGAATGAATAAAAAGGATGTGATACACACACACACAATGGAATACTATCAACCATAATAAAGAATGAAATGTTGTCATTTGCAACAACATGGATGGACCTGGAGGATATTATACTAAGTGAATTAGGTCAGACAAAGACAAATACTGTATGATATCACTTATATGTAGAATATAAAAGATAAAAATATAAAACAAATTAGTGAATATAATGAAAAAAGAAACAGACTCACAGATATAGTGAACAAACTAGTGATTATCACTGGGGAGAGGGGAGGGGAGGGGCAAGATAAGGGTAGGGTTCATACTACTATGTATAAAATAAGCTACAAGGATATACTGTACAGTACAGAGAATTTAGCCAATATTTTATCATAACTATAAATAAAGTATAATCTTTTTTCTGGGCTGTGCTGCATGTCTCGTGGGGTCTTAATTCCCCGACAAGGGATTGAACCAGGGCCCTGGCCTTGAAAGTACCAAGTTCTAACTACTGGACCACCAGGGAATTCCCAAATGGAGTATAATCTTTAAAAATTGTGAATCACTATGTTGTACCCCGAAACATATAATATTGTAAATCAACTATACCCCCAATTAAAAATTAGTAAATAAATTGACAAACAAAAAAATTATTTTTTCAGATTTTGAAGAAAGCTGTTCCCTCTCTGGCCGACTGAGCTAAACAGTCCTGAAGGTATGATGCGTTTCCCTCCTTCCTACCTCACAGCCATAGTTTGTATGCTTCCTACTGGCCTAAACGACCACTGGTGAGGTGGTCCTATAGAACTCATCTGGTGTTTGCAGATGACCTAATGAGGTGCCAGGCACATGCTAAAGCACTTCAGAACTGTATCTCACCGTAAAAATCCAGTGAGGTGTTACTATCTTCATGTTACTACTAAGCACAATGAAGCTCAGAGAACTTAGGAAACCAAAGAATCCCAGCTGTTGAGCAGTGGAGGCAGGACATGGGACCCTAACCTCTGACTTGGAAACTGCTCTTTGAGCATCTCCTTTTCATCCCACAGGTGCCCAGTGGTAGGAGGTGTTCGTGTGCATGCACACGATCTTCTCCACACACCTGTGAGGTCCTGGTGAGCTGAGTTCCTTTCCCTGCTGCAGACCTGATCGGAGGGCTTAGAAAATCGAGTGTGTCAGAGGTGGTTTAGCAGCTCAAAGGAGGGCTCAGATTTCTCACGGGACCAGAAGACTGGTTCCAGATCTGTGGCTGCCATGTAACTGAGAGCTGAGAGTCTGGGGTCAGCTGCCCCTGAGTCAGCTCTACTAGCCTAGGAAAAAGAGAATCCCGAGATCTTTGGCAATTCACAGCCTCATGCCCTCCTGCCCTCATCACAGCCTCAGAGTTGAAGGCTCTAATGCATTAATTGCCTCTGTGATGGCCCTGAGTAACGGGTACTTAAAACAGATGGAAGGTGAAGAGCTTGAGAGGCAGTAATTATATCAATTGGCCAGAATGGTTATTAACTATCTCTCCATGCCTAGCATCCTGACAGGCACTTCACATGCATAATCCAGTGAGGTGGGTGTCTCATAAATGAAGAAACTGCAGTGAGGGAGAAGCAAATTGCCGAAGGCACACAGCCGGCTAACAACTGACAGGGCGGGATCTGAACTTGGGTTTCCCTTTTCATTCACACGCTCGTTGGTTGCGTGCTTGTTGTGTGCCATTTCTTTGAGCTTTGGTGGGGGTGGTGTAGTCACTATGTCGTGTCCGACTCTTGTGACCCCATGGAGTGTAGCCCACCAGGCTCCTCTGTCGTGGGATTTCCCAAACAAGAATACTGGAGTGGGTGGCCATTTCCTTCTTCAGGGGATCGTCCCAACCCAGGGATCCAACCCGAGTCTCCGATATTGCAGGCAGGTTCTTTACCACTGAGCCAACAGGGAAGCCTTCTGTGTGCTTTGTATTCAAGAAAATGAATGAAAATTCCTGTTCTTTTGGAGCTAACATTCTAGTAACACTAAAACACTGTCTATATGTATATATACTATATAGTATATAATGTGATGATATAACCAGGCATATCATATTCAAACTGCAGAAAAAGCAAAGACAGAGAACTTATTGAGAGCTGTGAAAAATACAGAGCAAGGTAAGGGAGATTGGGAGCCCTGGGGGTTGGCCGAGGGAGCAGATTGTACCTTGTTGAGAAGGTGACATTTCAGTAACGATCTGAAGGGTGAAGGAGATGAGGGAGGTGGCCATGCAGGTATCTGGGGAAGAGTGCCCTAGGCAGAGGGAGCAGCTAGTGTAAAGGCAGCTTAATTCCAGGTGCCTTCCCTTATGCCTAGTGCCTCAAAACATAGATGAAGGTGAGAAGAAGACTCCTGTTCTCAAGGAAGGAAGATGCTTGAAAACAGATTACAAGCCAACTAGAATGAGAGAGATATGAACCGGCACATAAAACAGCTTGGGGATGGAGACTGACTCTCTTTAGAGAGTCAGTTTTCTAAACAGGCCTTCTTCCTGCCTCAGACCTGAGCAGAAAAGAGAAGTCGCTGGAACCAAAGAGGCTAGGGTCACCCTGCTTAGACAACCTCGATTAAAGCCTGCTTGCTGTTGCATACCTTGGCCATGGCCCCGGCTCTCTCTGTTTCTGAGGGCATCTCTGACATGCCTCTCCTGGTGCTAGTCCCTTGGGGCCTCCCAGGAGGGCAGCTTGGATGTACCCAGGCTCTCAGGTTCAGGGTGGGCACCGCACTTGTCTGGTTCCCAGAGTTGGGTCTTAGTGCTGAGGTCTCTGAATCCTCTTGATGGAGCACTTGTCCAAGTCAGGGAAGCCTATTCTCTGACTCTCCGTGGAGAGGAGGGCCTAAGTAAATTGTGGGGTGACCACCTGTTTGTTGTACTGCCCCATACTGTATTGCCGTGGGCTTCCTAAGGATCAGTTCAGGTTAAGTATGTACTGAGGTTGCTTTCTGCCAGTCCTGTTCTCTAAGGAATCTGACATGGCCTGATCTTGAGGACTACACCAACTGCTCCAGAGATAGATAATTCCATTACATTTCCCAAGTGTCCACCTTGTCCTGGACTCCACCCACCCCTAAAATGTAAGATGGAAACAGGTAGGTACTGCACCCTCTCTGTGGTCCCCCTGGGGAGGTTGTCTAGACCTCCCCCTGTTGGCTTGCTCTGCTGGTCTTATTTTCCCTGGTCCTCAGACCTCTGATATGGCCTTGGCATACCTCAATATAGGAACTATTTTAGAAATATTTCTGCTCAAGCTTGGGTTTCTCCCTTAGACCCAATTCTGGCATAGACTCCTGGCTTTAACCTGATGACCAGTAAGAGAGACACTTCTAATTCCAGACAAAAGTGCAGTTGATAGAGGTCTGCACAGGGTTTGGAGGAGGAGTTCTGGCCAGCTTGAGCTGGCTTTGTAGGCTTCCTGAAGAAGGGGATGCCTGCGTTGTTTTGTTTTGTTTTTTTTTAATTAATTTATTTATTTGGCTGCATTGAGTCTTAGTTGCCGCATGCAAGATCTTTCAGTTGCAGCACACTAACTCTTAGTTGCAGCATGTGGGATCTAGTTCCCTGACCAGAGATTCAACCCCGGCCCCTTGCTTTGGGAGCTTGCACTCTTAGCCACTGAACCACCAGGGAAGCCTCACCTGTCTTGTTTTGATGCCCCAACCAGGAAGGCCTTTGTGGTCTAGTCTTAGTAAGGAAGCTAGTCCATGTACAGGGATAAGAAAAATCAATATTGTCAAGATGTCAGTTCTTCCTAATTTGATCTATTGATTCAACATAATCCTAATCAAAATTCTAGCAAGTTATCTTGTAGATATCAACCAACTGATCCTAGATTTTATATGAAGAAGCAAAAGATGAGTAATAGCCAACACAATTTCAAAGAACAGCAACAAAGTTGGAAAACCGTCTCTATCCAACTCCAAGACTTTATATAAAGCTACAATAATCAAGACAGTATGGTGTTGGTGAAAGAATAGACAAACATCAATGAAACAGAATAGAGAGCCTAGAAACAGACCACACAAATGTAATCAACTTATCTTTGAAAAAGAAAGACAATTCAGTGGGAAAAGGATAGTCTTTTCAACAAATGGCACTGGAAAAATTGGATATGCACATGTTAAAAAAATCTAGACATAGATATTTTACAAAAATTAACTCACTATGCATCAAAGACTTAATGTAAATGCTAAATTATAAAACTCCTGAAGATAACATAAGAGAACAACTAATGACCTTAGCTTTGCAATGAGTTTTTAGAAACAACACCAAAAATCACTACCCATGAAAGAAAAAATTGTTAAGTTGGACTTTATTAAAATTTAAAAATTCTGCTCTGTGATGGACACTGTTAAGAAAATGAAAAAAGCCACAGACTTGGAGAAAATATTTGCAAAAGACATCTGGTAAAGGACTAATATCCAAACTATATAAAGAATTCCTGCAGGCAGTCCGCCCCTGACCCCGCACTGGCTGGCTTCATGAAAACCCTAGGCGGTGGAACTTGGGGGAGCGAAGAGAGAAAAGCCGTTTGCAAGGTTCCTGGGTGGAGCTCCCCATGAACGGCAGCAATGGCAATGATAATGGCAATGGGAAGAATGGGGGGCTGGAGCACGTGCCCTCCTCATCCTCCATCCACAATGGGGACATGGAGAAAATTCTTCTGGACGCACAGCATGAATCCGGACAGAGCAGTTCAAGAGGCAGTTCTCATTGCGACAGCCCTTCCCCACAAGAAGATGGGCAGATCATGTTTGATGTGGAAATGCACACAAGCAAGGACCATAGCTCTCAGTCAGAAGAAGAAGTTGCAGAAGGAGAAAAAGAAGTGGATGCTCTGAAGAAAAGCGTAGACTGGGTGTCCGACTGGTCCAGTAGACCTGAAAACATTCCACCCAAGGAGTTCCACTTCAGGCACCCTAAACGTTCCGTCTCCTTAAGCATGAGGAAAAGTGGAGCCATGAAGAAAGGGGGCATCTTCTCCGCAGAGTTTCTTAAGGTGTTCATTCCATCTCTCTTCCTCTCCCATGTTCTGGCTTTGGGGCTAGGCATCTACATTGGAAAACGACTGAGCACGCCTTCTGCCAGCACCTACTAAGGGAAGAGAAGAGTCCCTGGGCCAGCGTGTACGCAAACGCCACCAGCAGATTGTAATTTTGTCAAGAATGCCATTGTCTTCTCTCAGTACCACCAGATCTAGGCCTGCACCATTCATGGTATAAATCTTCCTCTTGCAAGATAACCCCACCTGTCTCTTCAGATGAGACCAGGTTACAAATGATATGAAAGCTTTGTTGTTTTGTTTTCCAAGACAAAGGCAAGCTTCCCTAAGCTTGAATTTATAGTTATGAAAAAAGAAAACAAAAACAAATAAAACAGACAAAATACAACACAAGGGAAAAAAATATCCTGGGCAATAAAAAGTTATTTTAAACCAAAAAAAAAAAAAAAAGAATTCCTGCAACTGAACAATAATAAGAAAAATGACCCAATTAAAAATGGGCAGAGAGAATTTTCCTGGTAGTCCAGTGGTTAAGAATCCACTTGCCAATGGAGAAGACACAGGTGAGATCCCTAGTCTGGGAAGATCCCACCTGCCATGGAATCTTGTGGAATCTTCCAAGTGCCGTGCACCACAACTACTGAAGCCCTAACACTCTAGAGCCTGTGCTCCACAAGAAAAGAGTAGCCCCCACTTGACACAACTAGAAAAAACCCGTGCACAGCAATGAAGACCCAGCACAGCAAAAAAGAAAATGGGTACAAGATCTGAACAGATATTTCACCAAAGAAGATATACGGATGGCAAATAAGCATATAAAAAGATGCTCAGCATCATATGTCATTAGGGAATTGCAAATTAAAACAATGAGTTACAACTACACATCTATTAGAATGGCTAAAATTCAAAACACTGTCCACACCAAATGCTAGCAAGGATGTGAAGCATCCATTCATTTTCTGGTAGAAATATAAAATGGCATAGCCACTTGGAATAGTTTGGTAGTTTCTTATAAAACTAAACATATTTGGGACTTCCTTGGCAGTCCAGTGGTTAAGACTCCATGCTTATACACTAGGGATTTGGGCTTGATCCCTGGTCGGGGAACTAAGATCTTGCATGCCACGTGACTTGGTGGAAAAAAAACCTCTACAAACAAGAAACAACTAATCATACTTTACCACATGATCCAGCAATTAAGCTCCTTGATATTTATCCAGATGAGTTGAAAAACTATATCCTCACAAAACTCAACATAAATGTTTATTACTATAAACATAAGTTTTATTTGTAATTGCCAAGATACAGAGGCAACCAGATGGCTGTTCTTGAGTATTCGAGTGGATAAACAGTAGTACATCCATACAATGGAATATTTTCAGCAATAAAAGGAAATGGGTTATCAAGTCATGAAAGCATACCTTGAAGCAAATTGCCAAGTGAGAGAAGCCAGTCTGAAAAGGCTACATACTGTATAATTCTAATTCTCTTTTTTTTCAAACAAACAAAAAAAATCTAATAGCATTGACTTTTATTCTTTCATGTTGTCACTTGAAATGATATCTACTGCCTTATTCTTTCATGTTGTCACTTGAAATGATATCTACTGCATTTAAATGCTCATTAATATAATGGCTAAGCAAATCCATTTTCATGGATATTCAATCCATTAAAAAAAAATTCAGTATCCACACAGTTGCAGTCACTTCAGTTCACTACATTCTGGAAAAGGAAAAATTATGAAGACTGCCAAAATTACGGAGACTGAAAAAATGGGTGGTTTGGGGGCTGAGATGGGGGTCAGGAGGGGTGAGTAAACGGAGCACAGAGGAGTTCAGGGCAGTGAGACTGCAGGACTGTGATGGTGGCTACAGGTCAAGACCTATAGAGCGGACAACACAAAAGGTGAACCCTAATGTAAATTACGGACTTTATTTTTATTTATTTTTAAAAATTGGTCCACACCATGCAGCTTTTGGGATTTTAGTTCCCCAGTCAGGTATTGAACTCTGGTCAGGTCAGTGAAAGCACCTAACCACTGAGCTACCAGGGGTTCCCTCAAGGACTTCAGCTAGTTGTGCATACCGGTGTCATCACTGGTCACAACAAAGCACTGCACTAAGGCAAGATGCCAGCAGTGAGGGCACCGGAGGAGCCCTGAGTTTTCAGTAAGCCTAAGATTGCTCTTTTGAAAAAGGGGATAGCGGGGAGACATGAGGAGTGGGAAACCCATTAAGAGCGAGAGCCTGTCACTTCCCAAGGCTTCCCACAGAGCTCTTCTGGGCTTAGTGGCAAAAACCACAATGTGGAAACGTCAGGCCTAAATAATGACTTATTCAGGTGCCCTTCTAAAGTGCTTTACCTGAATGATCTCATTTTATCCTATAGCACAGTCCTACGAGGTAGGAACTATTAACAGCCGCACTTCATAGAAGAGGAAGTGGAAGCACAGAGAAATTAAGTAACTTGTTCAAGATTGCTGTAAGTGGAGCCAAGATTTAGATCTAGATACTAGAATATATAGCTAAATCACCATATGCAACTTTTTTCTCATTCTATAAACTAGACAGGCCATTTTAATGAGGCAAATCATCCTAGTTTCTTATTTTGCACATCCTGATTCAGTACAAATAACCTCTGTTCGAACCTGGGCAGTATAGGATCTCTTTCAGCTGGGAGGTCAGTCTTTGCAGGACCCCTCCCATATACAGCCTCTCCAGGGACTGAATGGGGAAATAGTTTCTGAAAACGGGTTGAGTTTCTTTAAACAGGAATCCAGTACTATTGTTTTTGGAGTCTAGAAATGTTAAACTGTTGCTAGAGGCAGTGTTATGAAATAGGTAATTTTCAACCACTCCCTAACACTTGTCTTTATTTACCACCAGTGTCCCTTGCCCACTGCCACTGCCATGTGGGCCTGGCCAGCCCCTCTTTCTTCATCTTCACTACAATCACCCCCGTCCCTGTCTTCCTGTCACTCACCTGGACCTTTGAATGGCCAGTTCCAGGCTCCCTGGGTACCTGTCAAGGTCCAGCCAGGAATCAGAAACCACACCAGTTACTTGAAGAGAGACCATTCTGCTGGTCCACTGACACTCTCTATTGAATTTTTCGTTTCATTCGTTGTATTCTTCACCTCCAAAATTTCTGTTGATTCTTTTTAAAAATGGTTTCTGTCTCTATTAAACTTCTCATTTTTTCATGTGTTGTTCTCTTGATCTTGCTGAATTGCCTTTCTGTTTTCTTGTCACTCATTGAACTTCCTTAAAACAGCTATTTTTTTAATTCTCCATCAGGTAAACTGCAGATCTCCATGTCTTTGAGTTGTTATTGTTATTATTCCGTCATTCAGTCATGTCTAGCTCTTTGCAACCCCATTGCCTGCATCATGTCAGGCTTCCCTGTCCTTCACTATTCAGAGTTAGCTCAAACTCATGTCCATTGAATCAGGGATGCCATCCAACCATCTCATCCTTTGTCATCCCCTTCTCCTCCTGCCCTCAATCTTCCTCAGCATCAGGATCTTTTCCAATGAAAAGATTTTTACATCAGCTTTTTGTATCAGGTGAAAAGAGTATTGGAGCTTCAGCTTCAGCATCATTCCTTCCAATGAATATTCAGAGTTGAATTCCTTTAGGACTGACTGGTTTGATCTTCTTGATGTCCAAGGGACTCTCAAGAGTCTTCACCAACACCACAGTTTGAAAGCATCAGTTCTTCGGGGCTCAGTCTTCTTTATGGTCCAACTCTCGCATCCATCCATGACTACTGGAAAAATCATAGCTTTGACTATATGGACCTTTGTGGCAAAGTGATGTCTCTGCTTTTTAGTACAACGTCTAGGTTTGTCATAGGTTTTCTTCCAAGGAGCAAGCATCTTTTAATTTCGTGGCTGCAATCACCATCCACAGTGGTTTTGGAGCCTAAGGGAATAAAATCTGTCACTGTTTCCACACTTCCTCCGTCTATTTGCCATGAAGTGATGGGACTGGAGGCCATGATCCTAGTTTTTTGAATGCTGAGTTTTAAGCCAACTCTTTCACATTCCTCTTTCACCCTCATCAAGAGGCTCTTTAGTTCCTCTTCAGTTCAGTTCAGTTCAGTCCAGTTGCTCAGTCATGCCTGACCCTAGCCACCCCATGGACTGCAGCAGGCCAGGCCTCCCTGTCCATCACCAACTCCCGGAATTTACCCAAATTTATGCCCATTGAGTCAGTGATGCCATCCAATCATCTCATCCTCTGTGGGCCCCTTCTCCTCCTACCTTCAATCTTTCCCAGCCTCTTCACTTGCCACCAATAGAGTGTTATCATCTGGATATCTGAGGTTATTGATATTTCTCCCAGCAATCTTGATTCCAGCTTGTGCTTCATCTGGTCTGGCATTTCGCATGATGTACTCTGCATATAAGTTAAATAGGCAGTGTGACAATATACAGCCTTGATGTACTTCTCGCAGTTTGGAACCAGTCTGTCGTTCCATGTCCAGTTCTAACTGTTGCTTCCTGTATTGTTACAGGTTTCTCAGTAGGCAGGGCGGGTGTTCTGGTATTCCTATCTCTCTAAGAATTTTTCAGTTTGTTGTGATCTACACAAAGGCTTTAGCATAGTCAGCGAAGCAGAAGTAGATGTTCTTTTTTAATTTTTTTTCTATGATCCAATGGATATTGGCAATTTGATCTCTGGTCTCTCTGCCTTTTCTAAATCCAGTTTGTACATCTGGAAGTTCTCAGTTCATGTACTGTTGGGAGCCCAGCCTGAAGGAGGTTTGAGCTACCTTGAACGAAGTCAGCTCCTAGAAGACTGCTGTGATCCTTTGGTTGTGTCATGTTTCCTTGGTTTTTCATGTTTCTTGAAGTCTCGAATGGTTTTCTTCACACTTGCAGTAGCAGTCACCCCTCCAGATTTTTTACCAGCTGACTTTGGGAGAGAAAGCCCTTCGGTCAGTGCTGCTAGAATCTGAGACTTTCCCAGACCTCTATGGATACACGGCCACCATACTTGTTGCTCCCCCTTGTGGCAGAATTCTTAAGCTTGTTTGCCTCCCCTTGATCCTGAGATACACCAGGCCAGGAGCTGACAGCCTCCACTTCGTTTGCCCAAGCTCTGAGTTAAAGCTCA